ATAACTTCTTTATATATAAAGAAGTTTTAGTCTTAGGGCATGTGAACTTGCTGGAGAGAGAAAGGGAGCAATTGTGACCCCACAATCCCTTCTCTTCCACTCCCTTCCTGGGATCTGGGGCTTGTATGCACTCGTGCCAGGTGTGAGTTTCAAACCACACAGTCGGTCATTTGGGAATTGAGCGATGTAACCACTTTGCCATCTGATGGCCCAGAGACTAGTTTTTATTGTGTATTTTCCTACAGGAATGATATGTCTTGATTTTTTGTTTGTTTTCTTTCTTGATAGGTAGAAAATGATGACAACGGTGAGAGCAGTAATAATAATCATACAGAGAAAGGGAGAGAGAGATATTAGTGAACATCCATTGTCTGTATTTACTATAAAGATTTAAGTAAAAAAACATGAAAATACAATAATATAATTAAATCATTACAGCATTATGTGGTAAAGATCCTAACTGGAGTAAGATACGCAAATTTAAAACATATGCAATAAAATAATGCAAGTGTAAAGGACAGTGCAGAGAAATATTTTATTTAGAAAATATAGATGACAGAATATGATTATAAATTAAAAATGGACAAAAGCATTGTCTCATATTTATTTTAATTAATCATGTAATGAAAATATAAAAAAGAGTAAATAATGAAAAATGATACTTACAAATTAACAATGATCACATTATGAATTTCCATTAGTCTGAAGTCCTCAGAAAGAATTAATAATCAGACAAATTTATTCAGATAAAAATAATGATAAGAAAATACAAAAAATATGGTCATTGAACATGTGCGAAGTATATTTGAGAATACTATTGATAACCATTGATACATATCTGAAAGCTTCAATTCTTCAAAATAAAAATTTAGAATAAGAAAAAAAAGAGTCCATAAACTGAATACAAGTGTACAAGATTCCTCTCATAATATTTTGAGATAAATAACTCCAATTTTCATTGATTATTCAGTACTGACTTTACATCACTCTTCAATCCTTGACTAATCATCATTAAGAAATGAAAACCAACCAATCATGGGTCACCGAATTTATCCTGGTGGGATTCCAGCTCAGTTCAGAGATGGAACTTCTTCTCTTCTGGGTCTTCTCCCTCTTATACTTCTTTGGTCTGCTGGCAAACGGCATCATCCTAGGACTCATTTGGTCAGATCCTCAATTGCACACCCCCATGTACTTCTTCCTCTCACACCTGGCCATCATTGACATATCCTATGCTACCGGCAGTGTACCCCATACTCTGAGAAACCTAGTGCAACACAAAAGAACTATCTCCTTTATCTCATGCCTTGCACAGATAACTTTGTGTTTGACTGTTGCCTGTACAGAATGCATGATATTGATGGTGATGTCCTATGACAGGTATGTGGCCATCTGCCACCCTCTCCAGTACATCATCATCATGAACTGGAAAAGGTGCACAGTCCTTGCTGTCATTTCATGGGTATGTGGATTTTCTGTGGTAATCATAAATATAATTCTTCTTCTAAGGCTGCCTTTCTGTGGACCCCAGGGTTTAAACCACTTCCTCTGTGACATCTTAGATGTGCTCAAACTGGCCTGTGCTGACACCTGGGTCAATACATTTATTGTCTTTGCCTGTAGTGTGTTTTTTTTAATTGTGCCCCTTTCCTTGATGCTCATCTCCTACACATGCATCCTCAGGAATATCCTGAAAATCAAGTCAAAGGAGGGTCGCAAAAAGGCATTTTCTACTTGCTCTTCCCACCTCTGTGTGGTTGGACTGTACTTTGGTATAGCTATGCTGATGTACTTGGTCCCAGATGACAGTCAACAGCAAGAACCACAGAAAATTCTAACCCTGTTTTACTGCCTCTTCAATCCATTGCTGAACCCCCTCATTTACAGTCTGAGGAACGCTCAGGTGAAGGGTGCCTTCTACAGGGCACTGGGGCAGAAGAGAGCCACGTGAAGGAGGGCAGCATCTTGGTTCTGTGAACTTTTCTCCTTATGAGCTGTGATTTCCTTATGCAATAAATATCTCAAAAAGTCCAAAAGAGACTTGATTTAATAATAAATGTCTAAATTCTAGCCCTAAAAGTGAGAAGCCTTTTTATGAGTATGCATCTGCTATTACACTGTAGCCCTGTAAGAACAAGGAGAGCTGCATTAGAATACTTCATATGTTTTGTAATGACATCGATTTTAGCATCAAAAATATGGACATAAGAAAATAGAATGTCTTCAATATCAGCAGTGATATCAGCGCATCACTCTGGCATGTCAGCTCTGACATATGTGACTCCAACATCAACTGCAGCAGCCGAAAATGGGAGATTCAAATTCATATCAAAAGAGAAAACTCCCAAGGGTACCACAACTTAGAAAGAGGGCAGAATTCTGTGCCTATATCTCACTGATGGTGAGGAAAATGAAATCAATGACTTAGAAACTCTAATTTCCTAGTGGAATAATTCAGGAAGGAGTTAAGGGAAAAAAATTGTGAAAATTTTATCTACACCTAATAGATAATATTTAAAGTAGTCTAAAGTATATTTTAAGCAATTTAATATGACTAAGTAAATGGAATTCATTCGAAAATGTTTCAATATTCTCAGAGGCAGATGTTGAAGCTTTGCTCTTACTCTGTACTTACAAGTAAGTGAAAAACATTCATAATAGGCAAGATTAGTCACCTGTACAGGCGCTGGAAGAGATTTTTCCTGTTAACATTTTGAATGTCTGAACTAATTTGTCTTTAGTTTAAAAGCTCTGACACCAGGGACCAGCAGTTAGCATAATGGCTATGTCGCTGGACTCCCACGTAGTCGACCTCGGTTTGCGTCCCTGATCCGGTGGCTTAAAACTCACGATGGGCGTGTGTGTGTGCGTGCCCAAGATCCCGTGAGGAGAATGGAGTACAAGGGATTGCAGCGTGGCCATCCCCCCTGGGGGGTGATTTCTCGCTTTCTGTCTCTATGTCTCTCTCTGTCTGTCTGGCGAGTGCACACGCCCTATAGCAAAAACCTCTCCCCAAAAAAAGAACAAAGCTCTGACACCAGAGTTATGGGACAGCTCTCACTTAACCTGCATCATCTACCTCTCTTGCCATCAAAAAATTCTCACCATTTGTACATCAAAATTGAGCAATGCATCAATGTTTATTGCAGCATTATTCACAATTGCCTTGACATGGAAACAACCTAAATGTCCACAAACTGATGAATGGATAGGAAAAGTGTGGTATATATACTCTATGGAATACTACTCAGCCATAAAAAATAACAAGACCCTGGAATTTGATAGAAAGTGGTCAGATATGGAGGATCTATTGCTGAGTGAAGTAAGCCAGGCTATGTTGGTCTGAGAAGTATTTCATGATGGGCAAAGTATTTTTACAAGCAAAATGAGAAATAGCGATTGACTGTTTTAAAAAATAATTATAATAATAATAATAATGATTGGGGAAAACATAGAAAAGATATCGAATGTTGAAGCGGGGAGCTTAATGTCTTTGTACTGACTGACTTGCATGGCATTTCCTTTTAAAAAAGCAATGTAATACACTGTAAAGTTATATGTAATCCAATGCAATATAAAGAAGATTATGGTGATAATAAAAAATTTTTTAAAAATTTAAAAAAAAATTGAGCAACGAACCTTGGTAAATGACAATAAAACCAATAAAGGTAGTGCCTACAGTCATTAGGTACATAAATCACTCATTTCTTCTTCTTTTTAAGTTAAGGAATTTAGTTATAATTTTTTTAGTTTTTACACTTATACTTCCTTTTTTATGAAGGGTAAGAACATCTTTGTAGTTTTATGGACTGTTTCACACCTTTTGAAGTTAGATTCCAAGAAGTAATATTTCATTCCCTTTCACAGGTAACAAAACTCAGATACACTGAATTTCATCAAAATTACAGAAAAAAAAAGAATTGTTTTCTTATGGTTACCAAGTCTATGTTTGGTTGAACATTATTGAAATTACCAGTGGTGATCACTGTTCGATACTGTGATGTAATTATTGCCACTGAATGTACATTAAAATGGTTAAAACAATAAATTTTATGATTTATATTTTATTGCAGTTAAATGTTGTCAGAACATAGAAATGTGTGGAGAACTTAACGCACTATTGCCATTTGAAAATTGAGGGGCCAAGAACACATAGTGGCAGTAAGAGTCAAGAACAATAGTCGTGACAAATACTGAGAACTCAGCCCTCCAAACGCAAGGAACATAATTCACTCAAGAGCTGCTAAAAGTAGAAGACTCCAGGCTTCACAGTAGGGTTCTCAAACAAAGGAAAACTTCCCCTGGGACTTGTGCAGAGAATCCAGATGACCTGTCCCAGGAGTTAGACTCGCAAAAAGTTGAAGATAACAATCACCATGTTGCTCAGGCAGCTGCATTTGTGACAATTGGGGACAGCAGTCATAGAATGTTACCACACTTTGAAATCAGAGAAATATCTTTTGGCTATAGCTTTGGCCCTTGCAAGATTATTGACACTAAATTTAAGGCGATGTTTCCATTAACACTTTGTTTTCAAGAACTATTTTTATTTTTCAGAGAGGTTTGTTTGTTTTTTGTTTGTTTGTTTGTTTGTTTGTTTGTTTGTTTGCTATTGGGCACGTGCCCTCACCAGAAAGACAGAGAGAGACAGAGAGACAGAAATCATTCCCCAGAGAGGATGACCATGCTGCAATCCCTTCTCCTCCATTCTCTTCTTAGGATCTTGGGCATGCAGCCACATGTTCCCAGTGTGAGTTTAAGCCACCAGGTCCAGAAGTAGAACTGCAGGAGACTACATGGAAGTCCAGCGACAGAGCCATTCCGCTGACTGATAGTCCCTTAAGAACTATTTAAATCTAAATATCCCAGAGGATGAAAATAGATTTTGCTTCAATTTGTGTTACTATTTGTCATTTTAGGAGTCAAAATAGACTATGTAGCATATTTAAATTAACCATCTTTTCTAAAACTAGAAAAAGAAAGGGTAGCATTGTTGTACATTTCACTGAAATTCTTAAATGTCTGTCTTAGAAGACATCTAGATTTTAGTACTTTCTTCTGCATCCGTGCTCTCCAAGTATCATGTCATGTTACCTTGGAAAATTCCTGTGTATCCTCTTGAGAGAGTAAGAATTAAAAAGTATACTATCTGACATCTTACAAAAATAAATTTTGACCACATCAATACATTAGACTGCCTCAGGGTTCCCTAGACCAGAGATAGAGAACGGACTTA